CTAATGTTTTGTTTTTCATTTCAACTAAAACATGGTTAAAAATGTGTACATCAAAACTCAAATTTTGCTATGTTGAAGCGTTAGACATCATCTTTCTTATAGTTATATATTTTATACCAAAATCCAAACAATTCTCTAAAACATGTACAAACTGGGACGTATTGCTGTTATTTACACCAAACATCATTTAAATTTAAATGAAAAAGCTTTACTATTGCACTATCATACTCGTAATCTAGTTAACTATATATATAGTTTATGAGGTTCAAATTCAATCTAAAAATTGTGTATTTATGTTTGTTTATACATTATATATAATTATACTCTCTCACCGTTCATAACCATACATTAGACAGTAGACACAAGGAACGTAACTGTCCTTGTGTTGTGTTGATATATTCTTGTGGGATAGAGAACATACATGCAATACTAAGAAAAATCATAGAACTTATGAGATATGTGAAGAAAATATCTTACCTTTATGTAGTCAACGCTTATATAAGTAGTCACGTGAACTTGAGATGAGTAGTGATGAGTGAGTATCTAGGAGAGTTTAGAGGGGATAATTTATAGGCGTGTGCCAATACTTGGCTTCAATTTAATAAGTGTGTGCCAACACTTGGCTCCAATTTATACACAAATTCCATTCATATTCATTTTTGTCCATATGTTCTCAAAACTTTGCTTTATATATAAAGTAATGCACATCCTACCTTTATTTACTTTATATTAAAAAAATTTATTTAACTTTTGTTAAAAGTTGGGAATTTAGCTGTACGTCGAAATTGCGGGAATAGCTAATTTATGCCACTTTGGTTACAACGTTCAGTTGTCGTAATCTTTTTTACGAAATATTGTGTTGTGGAGACTGATATGTTGAATCTGTTGTGTGATCTGGATAACATGTTGATCGATCATTGATTACAATTTCAAAATTGATTAGAGTATGTAATAGTGGAAAGTGGACGTAAATTTTATTTTAAAAGTTAACCAGTATAAATCATGTGTGTGATCATATGTCTTTATATCTTGCTTTATATCATTTTATCATAATCAAATTAAGAATCCAAATTATAACATGATACTGATACACGTCTCATTTCATATAATAAAATTGCAAGTATATGCATCTAAAGTTCTAAACTTTTCGATTTGCAAATATTCGTTAAAACGTTAAGCAAATTGTTTCTAAGCTTCCCTCTTTTGTCTCTATAAGACCATTGATTTAGAGAGAAACTGATAAACCATCGATTGATTAATCATTTGGTTTATTGCTTCCTGAGTTTCTTGCTCAAATCCAGTAAAAAACTTATAAACTTTGATCAGAAATCCCAAGAATATATTGGAGTATGAATATTCGATTTGTGTGTGAAACCAAAATTATTCAATGAACAAAAAAACGTATGAGAGACGTGACGTAGTCGCTGAAGTCACACTCAACGTAACAGTCACAATCAACGTAACAGTTTTATACAACAAAAGTGGGCTACGTAGGATTCCCAATTAAGATGCAACAAATATTAATTAGTTTAGCCTTCTTTTGTCTTTTATTTTTCTTCGCATTTCTTAATACAGTTATATTTTCTTATAGTCATCTTACCTAATTTATCCATCACGATACATTTGATAATTGATACCTCACGTTTCTTATCATCTACTTTTATAAGCTATCCGCTGTTTAACTATTATTACTATCTATAATATATGTTGATCATATCATTCATATATCTCAAAATATTGGCAAAAGATATGCAAATTGGTTCGTGGATGAAATTGTTTGAATATTTTCTGATTAAATTAACATTTAGTTATGTAGTGTGCAATCTAATTTCAAAAGATGCAATTATTTGACAACACACAATTCCTTCTATGAAGAGTACATAAAAAAGTACAAATGTACCATGACTTAAATATTTCATAGAAAAACACTTGACGTCTCTCGGAAATGATTTAATTACAATGACATCAACACTCAAGAATGACTCCATTATGTCTACACACACATCGGGCACGCGCCACTAATTTTATATTGTCTGGTTACTTTATTAGTGTCATTTTTGAAGAATATTAAATGTCTATTATATTTGATATATACAATCCGTAATTACATTCATTCTGTGGCTACGGAAAGAGGAAGGTAGGATATATAAGTATATATGAAATTCTGCGATAGTCACATCATTCAAATAATTTATACTATTTGATGTATTATATTGATGGATTTGGAGAGAGGAGCCAATGAGGTGGTAAGAGCATGTTTATCAATAAACCCCAATGAGTATCATAAGCCTTTTTTTAGTATTAAATTAATTAGTTGTTTAATCAATGATACTCAATAAGATTTTTGTTAAATTTGTATGTTTAGTGGTAAAACAAAATTGGGTATCAATAAAATAAAAAAAATAATTTTATAAATTTTCAATCTGAGACTTGTTTAGACTGAAGCAAGCAGCGACGGTTGAAACGTAACCGGAGCAACACCAAGACTCTGTCTCCGGTTCGGATTCCGATTCGATTCGAAACAGAACGGGAACAGAAACGATCTGGCGTGGAAAATTCTTGAATTTGATTTTACAGTAGCAATTACCAGATGATACATCCGCAACAGCATGTCCCGATGAGGAAGACGACGAAGACGATGACGGTGATCTCGGCAAGTGAGCTGCGGCTGAATGATGTCCTCGTCTTCGTCGTCTGAGAGAGAGAAAGGAGGAGAAGAGAGAAGACGAGATGATTAGTTAATTTTCCCTCAATTTTTTTTTCCCCACTCAGCAAGTGACATGTAGTGAGATGAGTCGGTTCAGAAGACTCACTTCAGTGAGACGAATCAACCCATTCTCAGCCCAATATCAATTTTTAAAATATTAAAAATGGGCTGATACCCACATTAGTTCACCAATAAACATGCTCTAAGAACTTTGTGCACCTATGGCCGCAAGTGGGTCTATTGTTCGTAGATGAATTGATTGATTAATTGGTAACATGAAACTATCGATGCACAAAAAAATGGAAACTATGGGCTACGGAAAGCTTACGAGAGAACAAAATCTTTAAAAGCAAATGAGCTATGTAAAATTTTCGTAGTCTCTTACTAGAGAATTCTCCTGTCTCATTCGAAGATTTTTTATGTCCCTTAACCCAATAAAGGAAAGTTGGGCGTATTACTGTGCATTGACTCTCACATTCCTTGAGTTTTTACTTTTTACTCGTTCTTGAATTTTCAGATTGAGTTGTTGGAGTTATAAAGAAAATTTGGGGTGGAACTTATGATATTTGTTAAATATATATACCTATGATAAGTTTATATAGTTACGAGAGATACATGAATCATATGACTGGTGTCTATCTCTAAAATGGTTTTATTGATGTGGAGTAAATTAAGCATTATGGCAATGTAGAAGACAAGCAATGCCACTCCTAAGCTAAACAATGTGTATGATGAAAAAGATCATTTTTTATTGTAAGTAATAACAAAGTGGCTAATAAACCTAAATTAATTATCAAAAATTCATTCAAGATTGGCTAATCAGCTCTTTCCCTTTAAGAGCTGATTTTTCCATCTAACTTTCCTTGTTCAATGTCTTCAATAATCACTCCATTTGATGGAAATCTACCATTCTAGTGGTCACTTAGTACCAACTTCTTTCTCGATGTTCTTATTCGTATGGGAGATGAAATTTATCAAACGGAAGTTTATAACATAAACACCAATAAAACTGAAGAGAGTATCCACTCAAACTAAAATAGACAACTTAAGCAGACTAGTATGATCATTTCCAGCATATATATTCAACTGAAGTTTCAAACTAGCTAGAGTAAGGTGTTACATTCCACTCTGAACATTCATATAGACTTTTCTAGACATTTGTTGTTTCCTCTCTGCTACTCAAGTTCAAGAAACTGAAAATGTTGTATGTGATAATGCAAAGAAACAAGTCGAGTAAAGTTCTATTACTTCAAGTTTAACTCCACAAACCAAAAATAACATAGAACTTTTAAAGTTAGAAGAGAGTATCCTGGGATCAACACAACTAAAGAGTAATAATCTAACCAAATCATGATTAGATGAAAGATAGTTATATATATCATAGACGTGGACAAAAGTAGTACATCTAATCACAAAATGAGAAAGTCTCCCTAAAGGATCGCCTGTGAACAAAAGTAGTGCATCTAATCACAAAATGAGAAAGCCGCCCTATTAGATCTCCTCAATTATTTGAGAGACCGTGATAGTGACTGCATCACCGTTGTCAAAGAGATGAGGAAATTGTTGAAGATGGAGGCGAATCTTCTCAGACAAGAGGGCGCATTGACGTAGATAAATTGTCCCACGAGTGCTTTGGATAAAATGTTACCCCATGAAGATTCCGAACGAACTACAGACTTTACTTCTTCAAAGTTGTTGGATACAAATTCCTTCAGATCTTCAATCTTCTTCTTTCTTTTTTGACAGTTTCTTCTCTTCTTATTAACGAAAAAAATTATTTTGTACAAAAAAATTAGCCTTCTTTTGTCTTTTTTGTTTTCTCGTATTTCTTAATATATTTATCTCTTTTCTGAAAATTCATTCAATAAACAGAAATACAAGGTTTAAAAAACCTAAACGACCGAGCATCAAGAAACAAGATTCTCTAGTAAAAAGATCGAAATGTCGAGAAAATCATACTTTATATAATAAGATGTCAATTTGATATATACAATCCGAATATTACAATACATTTTGTGGCTACAAAAAGAGGAGGGTATGAATATTATATGAACTGTAGTTTCCACGGAGAATTTAATTTTTGCTTTTTGCTTTTTTCACGGAAAATCATTATTTAGCGAACTGTAGTTTTACAAAAAAAAAAAAAAAGTAGGAAAAAAAAATGGGGCGAAGGCCCAAACTAAAAAGCAGGCCCAAAAGGAAAACAGGCCGAAAAGGTTAACAGCCCATATTAATTCCCTTAATGGGAGAAGAAAATCACGATGATATCTGTGAAAAAAATCAGATTATTCTTTTTGTTTTTCTTTCCAATGTCCTATATCTTCTCTGATTCCGCTTGAAATCTATCAAATTCGTGAGGTGAATCAAGAAAGCCTTTCTTTCTTTCAAAGAAGTAATAATCTTCTTTCTGTTATCTGTGATTTTAGAGTGGATAGGAGAAGCAAAGAGAGGGGGGTTTCTTACGTGCACTTACAGGAGTGTCTATTGGATATGTCATAGGTATATATATAAACAGGTTGAGATAGATTTTGTTGTTCCCTTAAGTCCTTAATCTTTCATCGATGGTATACATATCTTTGTGTGTGTTTTTTTTTTTTGTCTGTGTGTGTTAAGGTTACTTTGTCCTTAAAGAAGCGGTAGATGAAACTAAGGCGATAATTCAGGAGAGACGGGAAAAGGTAAAGAAAGAAAAAACAGAGTAATTGAATGACATTTGCTATTTGTTTCATCTTCATCATTTTGATCTCTGTGTTTTTATGTGTTTAGAGGAACTCTGTTGGAAAATCTCCAGATATTGGTACGGATAATCTCTCTAGTGAAAAAAACACATCAGAGACGGCCTTGCTCAAGTCAGTTGGACAGAACAATGAAACACACTCTCTAATTATCTGACAAGCTTTGTATCATGTCACTGTTGACTACGTGTACTCAAACATAACTTAAGGAATTGGCTTTGCTTTTTGGTTCAAATTTATGATGTCTGATTGTAAGAGAACCTGCTTATGTTAATGAACGAAATGATCTGATGCTTGGCTTCTCGTTAACATTGTATATGATATGATTGATGGTGGGCTTATGGTTACATTGTATCATGACTGTATTGTGTATGTTCATGTATTGCTGAAACTTATACTCTTTTTTTCATCGTTTCCTACGACCTTCCTTTAGATATCTGGTCAGTTGGTTACTGTTTGTATGAGCTCTATAGTGGGAAAGTGTGATATGTTCTGGCTCCACAAACAATGATATGTTCTGCCTTCATATGGAACTGAAAGGTCCCTTCTCCAAGAAGATGCTTTGCAAGGTAAGATTGGACACGGTCTTTATCTCTTTCTTTGATCTCATTTGATGTAACTTTTCAAATGAAACTTGTCTTATGGAATTAGTGAATGAAACTCTACATGAGTCTTGGAGATGCGTGTAGGTTTTAAAACGCTTTCTAGTTTTGTTATGATACCTTGTTTTGTTTAACAGGGAGTAGTTATCGATCAGGACTTGAGCATCATATGGAAAATTACAAAAGTATGGCATCTCTTTGGATATAATCTTTGATCAAGATACCAATCTACATTTTTCTCTTATCATTGTAACATGGCTGTGCCTCTCCTTGTAAGCAAGGAGCAATAAACACTCGACCTTGTGATGGTACTTAGGTAATCCAGACAACTCGATAGTCGGAAATTATGCTTGTCCGCAGTATTAGAGGCAATCCAGCTCTCGACTGAAGCATATCATCCATCTCCGCTCCTGCCCCATACATTGCCCGGTTCGTTGTTCCTATGTAGAGCTGAAATGTTGTCGACTCATGGCTCAACGCATATAGTTTAGGTCCCTTTACAGAAACAAGAGATATATGATGCATGTAACTTAAGTTGATGTTAAATAAATATATCTCTTAAGTTTATACAGTATAAAACTTACTTGCGCCTTTGCAAAGTTGAGGGGGCCAAAGAAGAATTTGATAGATGGAGGATGAATGTGAAGGCCAAAGACATTAGACTTGTTATCTACTATGAGCTTGGTAGAGCAATTGAAAGTGAGGAACTTAGTCGACGCTCCATGTGAATCCACACCTTCTTCTAACATAAACTGATTAAACCTTCCAATCTGTAAAGTTACATACTTTTTAGGTAGAGTAAACAAGCCTAAAACTCAAGGTCATCATTAAAAATCCATCGATTCACAAAATTTGGTACTAGCAAATGGGGCGAAGGCCCAAACTAAAAAGCAGGCCCAAAAGGAAAACAGGCCGAAAAGGTTAAACCAATGTAGAAGACAAGCAATGCCACTCCTAAGCTAAAGAAAAACCTCCAACCTATTTGCAGAACGATCCACCAACCCGAATTGGAGCTACGACGCAATGGCACCAACATTTTCTCATCATCCTCATACACTAATTTGTTTCCGGAGTTTCTCAAGAAATCTGAGTGCTTGGGGAATTCATTGACGGGGGATAGGACCAATGGCGCTGAGTCAGATCGAGTGGGAGACTGGAATTCGAACTCGAGGTCGTGGGATAGCGATGAAGGGCTTTGGACGAAGTAGTTTGAGTAGTGGTCCTCTCTTCTCTCCATTAAATAAACTAATTGCCTTAATATTCTTGCTATGTTTGTTTGCTAGTTTTTGTGAGTGTGTGATTAAAGAAACTATATGATGGCTAAGTTCATATATAGTTACGAGAGAGGTATGAATCATATGATTGGTGTCGTCTATCTCTGAAATGATGACTTATTGATGTGGAGTAAATTAACCATTATAATAGCGCTAGCGTTCAATTACATTATTACATGGTGGAGAAAACTATAATTACACAAGTCATGATGTGGGTTTGTTGTTCTTGTAATCCAAATTTCCTTCACGCTTAAGTTTAAATAAGTAATATAACCACTTAACCAATCATTCAACCTAGGAAGCTCTATATTTATACAAAAGATATTGATTTTATTAATTTTATCTTACTAACTTTCCAATTATATATTTAGTTTGGCTTGATTTTTCATTTTTATGTTCAATAATTTAAAAGATATTTAGAACCTCGGAAAGCTTTAATAAGCAAAATATTGCTCTTTTGTGGCCATTTCATAAGTGCTCTCTTAACACGAGGGAAAAAAAGTCAAAAACATAGTGTACGTAGATGGTGTCCGTTTTCTTAACGGCTAGGTTCGGTAGCATTAAAAAAACAATCAAACCGAAATAAAATTTCTTAACCGGTTCGGAATTGAAATTTTATTTTAGACCAAATTTGATAGATTTTATACCTAGCAATCTAAACAGAAACCAAAATCTGTTGCGACCGGACTGAGCCGACGACTAATAGTTTATTTTTATCAACTTTTGTCCACCACCGAACCGAATCCGAACAAACCCAAACCTGAACCAAATGAAAAATTGTCTAGCAAACAAAACCAAAGAATTCCGGTTTCTCATTCAGATCTCTTTTTTTTCCCGACGAAACTAACAAATCCAAACCTAGCCGAACCAAAAAAACTTAATAATCAGGCCTAAAGTTTCCTTGCGGCTTGGAGTCTCCATTGGCCCATAAACTCAATTATATGCGAAGACCTCAAGGTCCATACTATAACTCAACATTCATGGTAGATAATTTTTCCTACAATTATGGCAAACGTTAAATTTAGGTTTTTTTAGTCAAAACATCATTTTGTTATATCCGTTTCTTTAAGTATACGTTTTGAATTTTTTTCTCAAAAGTTTTTTATTTAAAATTTTCTGTGTAAAGTAATTATTCCTTTTTGGATTTATATATTCCCCTTTTTAATTTATTACCAATCAAAGTTAATAGAATGTAAATTTTCTAAATTGATATGAAACGGATCGGGGAATATGCTTTACTGATCAGCTGCATTGTTTACAATTTCTTAAGCAATATTTACGATCGAATAGTTTTATTTTTGGGTCGTAATTAACCCGAATTTTAGGTAGAGAGAGAATGATAAAGCTGATAATGCTTTCTTATTACGAAACCGTGTTTTACACATCAATCAAACTCAGATTTGTACAAAAAGAATATGAAAAGAAAGAGAAAGCTATACAAATGAACCAAAGTAATCACCTCACTGCTGTGTGGGCCATTATTTAAGTACTTCCTCAGCAAATAGAATCTCAATGTACCTTCCTATTCACATTTCATGTACGAATATAACCATGCATGGTGATTAGTTCCTCCACCTATAGATATAAACTATGCATATATCTCTCGTTTCCATGAACAATATTATTGTGAATAATAAACATATGATGGGAAAACAAAGGGACAAGATCGAGAATATACAACAAAGGGACAAGATCGAGAATATACCAATTCTGATTTAAAGAAGACTTTTTGCCAAAAAAAAAAAAAATGAGACTCTTTTAGAATAGAGATTGATCAAGTTCATGTTAAAAAAAAAATGTATATAAGAATGAATAAGGAGGAATGAATAAAAGAAGATGGAATGAAAGGGAGAGAGAGAAATTGTCAATCGACTTGGAAATCAAGGAAGGGGAAAGAAGAGTTGTTATCGATGAGACCATCCAAATCCCAATCTCCGATTTTAGGGTTTTCTATTTCCCAAGAACCATTCTCTATCCCCAACACATTCCCTACCTTGAAGCTTTCTGAATGACAAACATTTTTGCTATTGAAGCAAGGATCGAAGACTTGTAAGTTTAGGTTGTTGCTTGTACTACAAGCAATGACATTGGTATTCTCCGAGGGGGGAAGAAACCAATCACCTTCTACTGATACTCTCTTGCTAAATGGATCAAGAATTGTGTTTCCATAATCTCCTAAGCCATTAACGTTGAACACATTCCCTGTGTTTCCCATTTGGTGATATTGGTTATCTGGTACTGATATCATCAGGGGATCATCAAGCTGGTTTAAGCCCACACTATTAACCACTGGTGCAAAATTGAATGAGGAAGAAGATTCCATGCGCATTGTATTCCCCACTATCATCATGTTGTCATCATGGTGATAGCCATCCATCAATGGAGCAGAGTTGCCTCCCATATCCACATGTTGATCTCTTGGGTCCAAGGAATTACTATTACTATTGTTAGGTGATGATCCTGATGAATTATTGTTGTTGTTGTTATTCTTAAGCCTCTTCTTCAATGTCGAGTTCCAAAAGTTTTTGATCTCGTTGTCTGTCCTACCTGGAAGCCGAGTAGCTATTTGAGACCACCTGATGATAAAATGTAAACAGTTATGCACAAAAATCATTCTAGCTAGCACCAAATCGTTTCGAATCTAAGCCTCATTGTATAGTTACCTGTTACCAAGAATAGAATGCAAATGGAAGATGAGATCCTCTTCTTGAGGAGAGAAGGAGCCACGTTTAAGATCAGGCCTCAAGTAATTGATCCAGCGAAGGCGACAACTTTTACCACAACGTAAAAGACCAGCATTTCTAGCGATGTCACTCCAACATCCTTGTCCATTAGTCAACATGTATCTTATGAGCTTCTCGTCTTCATCAGGCGACCAAAGTCCTTTTCTTAGCTTCGGTTTGTTGTTATTACCACCACATGCATGATTTGGCTTGCCCTTGTCTCTGATCGTAGTAATGTCCGGTTTCCTCATCATCATTTTGGACTGGTGGAGCCTTTTTGAAGAAGAGTATACAGAGAGAGAGAGATGTATAATTTGGAGAGATTGTATGAAGCAAGGAAAGAAAGATAGAGAGGATGATATGATTTGTGGGGATTGCTTTGGAATGATACGAATATGCGTAATGGGTATGACAAAGAGAGGGAGAGATGAAAGTAGTGTTTGTTGGGATTGATGGGTAGAGTAGAGAGAGTCTCTAATAGAGAGAGACAGAGAGAAGAAGAAATGAGAATGTGAAGAAGAAGCAAGAGGTGGGTCTTCTTTCTTTTTTGTTACAAAATATAAATAAAATAAATGTCTTCGTTAGAAACATGATGATAGACTTGTGAGTGAAGAAAAATGTATCGAAAAAGACTGGTTTAGAGTCAAAGACAAGAACAAGACCAACCTCTTTCTCTGTCTCATCCCCGCACCACACACGTGTGTTTGAAGGATCAAAGTATACAAATACATATATTAGTTATGGCTTTTTTTCTTTTCTTTTTTAAATTTTTGTTTCTAAACGACAACTAATAACCAATTTTCACTCTCTAAAAGTAATATAGTATACTCTTGCAAGGAGGCTTATTTTGAAGTAACTTCCATTTTACGATATAATTTAATCAACCAAATCTAAATATATAGATAGATTCAGGATCCTTTGACAGAAATATGGAACATCATAGAGTTTAGAAGATCGATGAGACAAAAATATAATAGCATCATATCAAATCCAAACTTAAGAATAGGTATATAAAATCATCATTTTTTTTTTCAATTCATTTACACATAAATTTTCATGTGATATCAAACCCCAACCTCCATTAACCAATCTCAAAAACGAGTTCATTTATAACGAATTAGCGAAATAAAACCATCATCATCAAAAATATCATTTCGAAATACGGAAATATATCTATAGCACACTGAAAATAATGTGCAGGCAAAATAAATGTTTATTTCTTATTATACTCAACTGATAAAGGATCAATAATAGTAAGTATTGATCGATAATAGCAAGTAATGATGGGATCGGAGCACGGATCATACTCCATCTCAATGCATACTACATTAATCATCACGCATCACGTAAACTAAATTCGATTTTCTAGCCTCCTATTTTTCTTTTACAAATCACAATCTAGACTAAAGTTCAGAAATTACAGTATCAAAAGCCTAAGCTAACGAACAAAGGGAAGAAATTGGTCAGCAGAAACAGTATTGGCTTCAAAAACTCTTTGGGCCTATAAACTCATATTGGGCTTATGCTTCATATTGGGCTTTTCTTTTAATTGTACGTATTTTTCATTGAGTTTGAAACTCGTCTTTTCACCACATCTTTTAAGGATTCCCTATATGTCCCATAGATCATTATATCACAAATATTATATGGGTTTTGTTCTATAGCTAGCTTATAGCCTTATACAAGAACATTCGTTGACCAACAACAGAAAGTGGGGTTTAATGAAATAAGCATTAACCTTATGCTCTTCACGTCCCCACGAACTTTTTTCTTTCCCTATAAAACAACATTGGTAAAGCCAAAGCCAAAGCCAAAGCCAAAGGTGAGATAATTGGTTTTGAGAGGTCAAATTTAGTAAACATGGCTTCTAGCTACAATCAATACACAGCGATGGCTGTTTTCGCCACAATGACGCTCTCCTCTGTCTTTACCGCCTCTGCACAGTACTACGATTCAGAGTCACAGACAGGAGCCTCTTGTTTTCCAGGAATGTCTATTATCATGATCATCTCTTCTCTCATCCTTTCTGGATTTGCCATTCTCAGATGGTAGATCATCCTTTATGTTCTTCTACTTTTCTTTTTGTTATTGTATGAAATCTCAATAAAGGAAAACATCACTCTCTTCTTCTCTCTTGATGTTCTAACGAATAGAAACTCAAATTTTATTATCTAAAATATCTTACAGATGGAGTGCTATGAAAAGCATTATTTACATTATTTTGTTGGGTATATTCACACATTTTGTTTACATTATTGTGTAGTAGACATTCCCTAGCTAAAATATTATTACAATGAGTTTCTCCTGTGTCCTGATATCTTTTTAACTATTATCCTCTCTGAGAATGTCTCCATTTCTGTAATCAGAAGATAGCTTGAATCAGCCAACAAGGAAAATTCTTGTAAGATAATCTGAAAGATAAAGAAAACTAAAAACTTGCTTCACCTTATTTAAGAGGATTGTCAAAACTCAGAATCAAAATGAGTTTGATAAGAAAATAAGTTGTCATCACCACCTTGTGTTCTGTGCTTGGAAAGAAAGTCATAAAAGAGAACCAATAAGCTGACTTTCCATGGATTTCAGGTTTTCAACACATGAAAAAACATTTATCTCTGATAATTGCAAACG